CACGTTCTTCACTCACCCTCCACCAAATCGCCTGTGTTAATGTCCTATCCCCTTCCTTCCCCATTTCCTTATCCCTCTCTAATCCCTTCTTTCCCATTATATTTTTCAGAGTCTAAGACTTATTTTTTGCTGTGCTTTACCAGTTTATGTTCTTTGGTTATTTATTATTTCACAAATAAGTGAAACCAACTCATATCTGTCTTTCACTTTTGGACATTTTACACCTAGCATAATCACCCCAAGATTGATCCATTTGCCTTTCCTCTTTTTAATAGCTTAGTAATATTCCATTGGAAATATATATATATATATATATATATATGTCATAATTTATTGATCTAGCTGTCTGTCTTTGGTCACTTAGGTTGGTTCCATGACTTGGCTATTATGAGTATTGCTTCTATGAACATAGGAGTACAAAATCTCTATATTGTTTTTCATAGAGGCTACACCAAATTACATTGCCTCCAGCAGTAGATGAGTGCTCCTTTTTCTCCACTCTTTGCCAACATTTATTGTTTCCAATGTTTTTGTAAGGCCATTCCTGCGGGAGTGAAGTGATATCATGCATTTTCTTTTAATAAATAGGTTGGATTATTTTTTTTCATGTGCCTTAGGCTGCCCTTATGTGATTTTTGGAGAAGTGTCTATTTAACCTTTTTTTTTTTTTGATTGGGTGGTTTTTGTTGACTTATATGAGTAGTTTATATATTTTGGAACTCCTTGTGAGTTACATGGTATGCAAGTATCTTCTCCTAGTTTATCAGTTATCTTTTTGTTTTTTTGTGGCAGTTTTATTTTGAGATACAAAAGTTTTTTTAGATGATATAATGACCTTTGTTGATTCTTGGTTTTGTTTCCTTTGCTCTTGGGTCTGGGTCCTCAAATACATCTCTGCAGTTAATGTCCAGAAATATTGCACCTATATTTTCTTTTATATGGTTTCAGGACTTATAGCCACGTCTTTAATTCATTTTGAATTAATATAGGTGTTTGGAGTTAAGCAAGGATTTAATTTTCTTTCCATGTCGCTGTCCATGTTTCCTGGGACCATTTGCTAAAGAGGCTTTCTTTTCTTCATTGTATGGTTGTAGATTCTTTGTCAAAAATTAACTCTCCATATTTGCGTGTGTATGCTTATGGACACTCTATTCTCTTACACTGACTTATGCTTCTATTTTTGTTCCAATACCTTGCTATTTTGATTTCTGTTGGTGTGTAGTATAGTTTGAAGTCACAGAATGTAATGCCTCTATTTTTCTTCATTTCTTTCAGAATTGCTTAGCATATTCAGAGCCTTAGGTAGTGTCATACAAATTTTATAATTGTTTTATTTCCTTGAAAATATCTTTGGGAGTTTGATGGATATTGAACCTGTGAAATGCTTAGGTAATTATGTTCATTTTAACAATGTTGCTTTTCCCTCCATGAACATAGAATATCTTTTCATTCTTAATGTCATCTTCTTTGAATATAGGAATTTAGTCTTGTCAATTCGTGATTGTTAACAGTTAGCCCTAGATCAGGATGGATGGTTTGGGAGTGGAAAAATAAGTATTTTAGATTGCCTCTGAACTCTGTACTTCTAGCTTGTTAAGCCTCATCTGTATTTCTAAAGATATTTTCAAAATATATTAGATGTGCTTTCTGTAGGGTCCCCAAGCCAAATATGTAATTTGAACAAAGCTCCATATGTTAAGTCCCAGTTAAAGTCTCTTGAAGTCCTGATAGATTATTTTGATAGCATAATTGAATGAAGCTAGGCAATGCTAACACCATTTCAGGTAAACTGTTCAATAGTCATATATGGCTAATTTTTTTTTTTTAACACTGTTAGTGTTTAACATTTTAAGAAGAAAGGTGAAAATTTTGAGTATCTAGAAAATATTAATATTTACCTTTGGATTGTCACATCTAGCCTGTTCTGCTAGATCCCCCTTAAAAATAAACTTAGTTTTGGGCCCTCTCTGGTGGTGCAGCAGGTTAAAGCACAGCACTAAGAAGCTAAAGCCACTTCAGCATGAGTTCAATCCCTGGCCCCAGAGGTGACCCACATGGCACAGCAGACCTCTCCTGACCCACCCACTGCTCCCCTCACCAGTGTACTTTGTCAGTTGGCCTGTTCTGCTCCCCACTCTGTCTCTGATGAAACCTCTCACCGCCCCTGCACCTCTGACCTGTACCCCAGTTCTGTATTCATAAATAAATAAGTCTTTTTTAAAAAATAAACTTAGTTTCATTAATTAAAGCAAAGGTAATTTGAGTACTGAAAGTTACAGCAAATTAATGACCTTTAATCACAAAAGGTCCCTAATTATTTTTAAATAAACTCTATTTGAATATTCCTCTCTTTTCTGAAAATTGCCCTTGATAATCTCTTCCCATGTAAGTGGAAAGCCAAGTGATTTTTCCTCACTAAAGTAAAACATGGGTTATATTATCTTTTCTGCACATTTCTGGAAAGTATGCTAGACTCTGGTAATTATTAGTTTCTAGACCATTGTTTCAAAGACCAGTGTTAAAAAATTCTTTAAAGTCAGGCTAATGATCTCAGTAAAGCTGAATAAAGAATAAGAGACTTTCAATCTGAGACCTGTTCTTAATTTAGTTAACTGAACTGTTCTATTTGTCATAAATTGGCTCGTCTTTGCAAAAGCAGATAACTCTTCCTACATCTCAAGCACAAGGAACTTTTTTCTTTTTTTAAGATTTTATTTTTTATTTTTACGTAGGAGAACTGGGGTATAGGCCAGAGGTGTGGGAGGTGAGAGGATTCACCAGAGGCAGAGTGGAAGCAGAACAGACAAATCTATTGAAATACACTGCTGAGGAGCGCAGTGGGTGAAACAGGAGAGTTCTGCTGTGCCAGGTGGGTCACCTCCCTGAACAGAGATCTCTATCATGTCATCACTGTCACGGTGGACAGTGGCTATGGTGGTGGTAATGCTGAGACTTAACCTGTAGGCCACCAACAAGGCCTCAAGGAGCTTTTTTCTTTTGTTTAGTTTTTGCTCTTGATTTAAAAAATTGGTTATTTCTAAGTTCACATACTAGAGTATAGCCTCTCCTATTCAAGTACATGAGTTTTCCTATAGTCAAGGAAACCTGTCTCCCCTCCCTTTGGAGGACTTCCACTTGAGAAGCCTGTTGTCTTTCTCTTCACTTTCTTCTCCTGGGAGATGTTCAGTGTCATTAGTACAGAAACTTAGTAATAGCAAATGTCCTTTTTCAAAGTGAAGATTCTTCACAAATGATGATAGAGTAGCTCCTTTCCTCTGAAGAAGAATTTTGGACTGCCTTTATTTGCCACTTTTTTTACTTCTCTCTTTGGGGATTAGGTAGGAATGCCAGATTATTTAGAGAGGAAGATGTAGATAAATGAGTATTGATCTAGTGGCTCTGCCATCAGAGGGACAGTGGACATGCCATTTAACATGCTTAGAGCTTCAATTTCATTATCTGGAAAACAGCAGTTGTATTACATGATTTCTGCGAATTCATACTGTTCTAAGATCATATCACTGTTGTTTTTAAGGTTTTTAAAGATAGTTTTTGAAGACTTATACACCTTGCCATTAGCTCTGAAGACAGTGTGAGCCACACTTCAGAGACCTTTTTCTTTTATATATATCTCACCTAAAGCTGATTCTAAAAGGGATGTGTTTGAGGGAAATCTTGATAGAGTTGCCTATGGAAAGGTCCTAGAAATAGTTCAAGATATGGTTATCTTTTAATTATCTGATTAATGTTACCCAAGCAACTTTGCTATAACTTACCATATTTTCTGATTAACCACTACGTCCAAGTTAGCCCAATTCCCAAGCTAACACAAAGCCAATCCCAACCCTTCTCCATTGTTATGCTATAGGTTACTGTGGCTACAACATGAACTTTGGAGTCAGCCAGAGTTGGGAGTTCATGATCTGATTCAGGCTTTTTCTGACTTTGTTAAGCAGGTTAGCATTTATAACTCTATACCCTAACATCGTAATTTATTCAACAATAATATTGAAGTTTTTATCTTAAAAATTATGGTATCAGCCACCTCACCCCAGTGAGAATGGCACATCTTCAGACATCTAGTAACAACAAATGTTGGCGAGGATGTGGAGAAAAAGGGACTCTCCTACACTGCTGGTGGGAATGTAAACTAGTACAACCATTATGGAAAACTGTTTGGAGGTTCCTCAAACTGCTAAACATGGAGCTTTCCTATGACCCAGCAATCCCACTCCTAGGTATCTACCCAAAAGACACAAAAACACTGATTCAAAAAGATACCAGAACCCCATGTTTATTGCTGCTTTATTTACAATTGGAAAAACATGGAAGCAGCCCAAATGCCCAAAAGTAGATGACTGGATTAAAAAGATGTGGTACATATATACAATGGAATATTACTCAGCAACCAAAAAAGAGAAACACATGTCTTTTGCAGCAACTTGGATGGAGCTGAAAAAGATCATGCTTAGTGAGATAAGCCAGAAAGAGAAAGAAAAATACCAGATGGTTTCACTCATAGCAGGAGTATAATGGACCAGGAGAGAAAATAACAATAACGAACAGCCATATACCAGAGACATTTTGTGGGGGTGGGAGGGTAGTGCATGGGATTATGGTGATGGCACATGGGTGACTTGGTGAGGGAAACCCACGGGGATTACAATTGAGATGAGGGAAAAATGTACAAAATGATGTAAAAATAAACTGTTATAAAAAAATTATGATATCAGATATGATGATAAAGAAGAGAGCTTCTCACATTCAGTGGAGAACACCTGACATTTATATACCTTTTGACCATTTATAAAACACCTTGTAGAATTAGTTCCATTTAGGCATTATTGTGTATTATCTTTGCTGGGTAAAGTATCATTTAGGTGTTGACACTAGAGCCATGTTTGTGGGGTAAGGTGTTTGTCCTGAGGTTGGGTCATGCCAGATCCAGAGCTTTGGCTATCTTGAGAGTCTTCTTCTAAAGCATCCTTTTTGTTTTCCAGGAATCTGAATTTCTATATCTGGAATTTGATGAGTCCAAGGTCAATCAAATCTTGAAGAAACTTTCAGAGGTAGAAGAAAGTATCAGCACGCTGATGCAGCCAGCCTAGCTGAAGATGGAGTTACTGAAGCTAAGATGTTTATGATCCCTTCCCACTGATCTGGTTTAAAAAAAAAAAAAAGCTTTTATTATCCCTGTTAATGCCTATCATTACCCCTATGAATATTAAATCCTCAAATTCAGATCTTGCTTATCTTTGCTTGCTGAGATTTTTTTCTCTCTCCCTTTCATTTACTCTTTAAGTTTTATTACAGAAGTTCTTATACTTTAGCAATCAGTGGCACTCAAAAAAGAAACTTTTTTTCCCTAGAAGGATACTCCCTGTGCTCTGTCCCCAAGCACTTGTATTTAGTAGATTGAGAGGGGTTCGTGTGAGAAACCCTTGCTATGTTCATTTATTACTGGGTAGGATTTTTGGTATTTTTGTATAATTGTATAATAGAATAAGTAGAAAAGAAGGGGAAAGTATTTTACTCATATAAATACAAAACTGACCAAATGCCATGTGTTCTGAACTGAGACCTGAAGGGGTCCACTTAATCTAGAGGTATATCACCCTTCATAAAACCTGAGATGCTTCTGGAACTGATTCAGTCTTTTAGATTAGTTCTACCAAAATATTGGGGTCTTTAATCTGAGCTACTCAGAAACTTGGACTTTTCTGGAATCTAGAACAACACCTCTCAATCACATTTAACTTAAGTTATGATAGTAGAAAGGGAAGCGTGTCAACTGAGATGATATGAGAGTTTTACTTCAGAAAACTTAACCTTTGTTACTAAATAAAACATCTTTAAAAGAACTGGTATAAAAACTAAGAGCTGGTTGAGAAATTATACCCAACACCAAAAAATTTTTTAAGAGAAAGAAACTGTCAAAGCAATATATATAAGCTGTGCTTCTTGTTGAATTGGTTTGTCAGTTGCCTTTGAGATGAATATGTTGGAACAATGTAGTTCTCTTGGTCTACAGTGACAGGGTATGTCAACTCTAATGAGTTTATTTCAGACAGGAATAAGTCCTTTTCTGTTAAGCCTGTTCTTCTGAAATGGAGACATTTTAGGAGTTCTTCCAGTACCTAAGCTGAAAATACTGGTTTTCTCCTTGATTAAAACCATCCCAGCAGTTAGCAAACAATGACCAGAAGGTTTTTAAATATGGCCCCTTTAGAAAACATCTTGAATCAGTATAGTAAATAGATTCAAAAAAGGCATGTGGTCTGGCAAAGAACTATTAAAATTTACTTTCGTTCCCAGGACTACTGTCATGTGATCCAGGAGAATTCAGCTCCTGTTGTAAAATAGAAGAAAAGAATTTCTCACTAGATAATGGGGCTCCATATTTCACTGGAAAGAACTGTAGCTGCCTCATGAGTATTGACTCACATATCCAGTGAAAGACTGGAAGCCTGAAGGAACATGGGCCATTGGGAGGGGAAGCTCTGTTTTGGACAGCCTCTAAATATAGTAATAAGCACAAAAGTGGACACTCTTTTAATATATCTCAAAGCCTAGGTTGTTGGGAAAAAAATTTTTTTTTATTTGGGAAAAAATATTTTTAAAAATTAATGTAAACTGAGTTTTCCAGAATTACAGTTACTAAAAAAAGAAACTAGTTGCTGGAGGTGGTTCCCACATTTAACACTAAGTACTTTTGAATGCAAGTGGTTTTGGACAGGATTTGTTTGCATGTGTTTTATATTTACTGATGGATTTTTAAATTTCTTTTGTTACCAAAGGAGTATATTTTTATTATAGGAATATGTGTTTGTTAATAGTCTATTGTGAAAATATAGAACACCCTAAAGAGAACAATTAATGATCCATCAACCTATCATGCTATGAAAAAAAAAAAAAGGACTAAAACTAGGAAAAGATATGACTTTCCCTAAATAAATTTATGAATGTAGGTCAGGTGGTTTGTAAGATTTTGATAAACAGCCAGTTTGCTCTCCAGAAAGGTTATTTTCTACCAGTCTTATTCCCTCTTACAAAGAGTAAAAATGAATCACTCCCGTTCTTGCCTAACTGGATATTATTTGTTTTTATTTTTTCTATCACTAACTTGTTTTGTGAATTTTTGCAAGGGATATTTACTTAAACCAGGACATCTCCAGGGGAATATTGCAAGCATGGACAATGGGCCATCAAAGGAAAAAAGGGGCATCAGGGTCCTAGCAAACCCCACTAGCTTTCTCATCTCTATATACTAGATTAAAACCTCTTTACTTATGTATCATTTTTTTTAATAAGGATTGGAAAAGATGTGGTATATACATTCAGTGGAATACTATTCAACTATAAGGATATAAGTGCTACCATTTATAACAAATAGAAGAAACTGGACAGTTTTACATATAAGTGTAATATAAGGAAACAGCAGATGAACTGATAAAGCAAAACATTTATAAACTCACAGACATTGACAACTAAACTGAGGCTTCTGGGGATAAGGAGGGAAGAGAACTGGAGAAAGGTCAAGGGAGCAAATATAAGGGATGATTTTGGGGGTGAGGGGAACCACTTTATTTTGAATTCAGGAAATGTGGCAAAATAAAACTATACTCAGCCAGAATCAGACCTTGTAAAAACTGTTCCTGTTTCAGCAATCAGCACTCTAACTTCAGTTGTTCATATACAGTCCAGCCAAACCAAAAGTTGCCTTCAAAATAAAGTCAGAAGTAAACTACAGATTTCAGTAGTTTCATGTTGATTAAAAAGCAAAGGATTTACAATTATTCTCAGGACTTGCTTCTCTTGGAAGCTCTGGTTCTTAACAGCTTCATCAGGGAAGGCTTAAGTTCTACCTTCTAGCCTCTTGTATAACCTCACTTTCCCCAGTTTTATTTTAATTATTTGAAAAGGATTACAACATTTTAAAATTCAGTTAACTTATTCTCCCCAAATACAAGGAGGCAGTGAAATCAAAGGATGACATTGAGTATATGAAGTTTAAAATAGCTAACATGTCAAGTTAGTAGTTACTGAAGTTTTCTTTTAGACCCGAGTGAAAATTTATAAAGTTTAAAAAACGTTAGAAAATACTGTTTTCTGAAGCACGGGTTAGACTTAAGTGAAGCAAGTCAGCTCAGAAGTGACTTCATATTTTCTTAAAAAAAAAAAATAGGACTCATGGCACATGGGTAAATTGGTGGTTGGAATTCCACTGGGATTACAACTGAGATGGAAAAAGGCACAAAATGATGTAAAAATAAACTACATTATTTAAAAAAAAAGGACTCTAGAAGGGATGTAAGGGTAATTCTTATTTGTCCAACTTTAAAGCCACAGTTTTTCAATATTTTAGATGATAATTTAGCCAGGAGAAGAGAAACCCTTAATAGGACATAATTAGTTTGAACTTAACTCTAGTTACAAAGTATACATTTTTTAACCTCAAAATGTGAAAATAAGGTTTTTTATATCTACTAACTATGATCAGTTTTTCCTTACCTGAGGATGGCCATAACTATCTTTCATAACATCACAACTATATGCAAAACTGAGCTAGCCTTTGTCACAAGGAATCAGCCAGATCCTGCTTCCTGTCTTATAAATGGTATCAACCATCAAAAATTACATATTCACTACACAGATTATCAGAATAAAATACTAACTCTTTACATGAGCAAATTGTAAAATATGGATATTTACATCATTTCTTTCACCAAAGATTATAATTTAGACCTGTTGCTTCATTTTTACCTAGTCTTGGCTAGTTTTCTATTCCCTGCGGAAGTTAAGGTTTCTGGTTTTGTTGACTCAGGATGCAGGCAGGGAAGAAATTAAAAGGAGAAAATACAAATTTGAATGTACAAATGGAATAAGACATTAAACTTTTCAGAAGCAATTTAATCTGAAAAAAAAAGTTAAAATCCTTAGTACTGTTAAACTGTTTTTATCTTTTAAGAAATAAAAATTAGTTTGGAGACTTTATATGATGCATTTTCTGGCTATTTGTAGAACTGTGACTAAGACTTGGCACTAATTTCAGAATGATTTGGAGGCTTTGGTAGTAGTTATCTTATTATCTTGTCAAAAATGGGGAAACATCTGGACAGATAGGTCACAGATTTTATACAAGGCTTTGGTCAGAAGGAAACCTCATGGTACTGTCTTTCATATCTGTGTTTTACCTGCCAGAATTCTCCAAAAGAATAACTCCTTGTAAAAAAATCTGCATCCTTGCTCACTGTGTTCAGATGACAATACCTGCAGTAGTGATTTTTGTGTGTAGATGTGGCCTTCAGGGTTGTGAAGTACATTGCCACTTGAAACTTGCATCCTTGTCACACCTGTCTCTGTGCTCTTTGCAGAGCATGGTGCTGTTTGCGATGGTCTTGGCCTCAACTGCCCACTCAGTGCTATCCACCTCTGTGCACTTTGCCTGGAGCTTCCTGGCTGTCAGGGGTGCCTGTAGCCAATGGATTGTCCTTACCCTAGCTGGACAGCCATAACCGAAGCTTGCTAAATACTGCATATTTGGGCTGTTAACTTATTGTAACAATGTCTGTAGTAAATTCTTAGTGGCTGCTTCCTTACTATATATATATATATTTTAACATGGTCTGCCATGGTGCAGTAGAACAAAAATTAGATTTGTTTTAATGTTTTCATTATAAAGTCATACATGCCATGAAAAATTAATTAGCCAGTCTTTAAAGAATTGTATTAAGCAAAAAGTAAGTGCCTTGCTTTAAGAAAAAATTCTCCAGAAATAGTCACTGTACATTTTGGTGTGTTTCCATCTAGAAACTGTATGTACAGATAAAAAGGGAGTGTGTGTGTGTGTGTGTGTATTCATACGTGTATAGATACATGAATCCAGACCACTGTGTGTATGTGTGTGTGTGTGTATAATTGTTTTTTTTTTTAAAGAAGTTATATCAGTTGTGATTTCTTTTTCATTTTAGTGGTTCTCAACTTTTCGATGACACTCTATATCTTCAGTGAAAACTCTGGATTTTCTTCCCCATTAAAAAAGCAAACTGCAATATTTACTGAATGTTTCTTTTAGTGTCAAGAGGTTTTTGAATTCCCAGAAAGCAACTGTACCACTTCTGCCCTTCTCCCCAAGGTCCCATGGAGCCAGTGGCAACCTAGAAATTAGCAACAATTTATAATGGGTTTGGAGAGGTTATTTATAGCAGAAGCCTAGTGAACAAGAATACTCAGGATGCTCTTCATTGA